CCTGACTCTCAAACTTTTTAAAAAAAAATATTACTTTTACTTTATGTGTATGAGTGTATTGTCTGCATGTAGGTGTTATGCAATGCCCAGAGAGGCCAGAAGAGGGCATTGGATCCCCTGGAACTGGAGTTACAGATGGTTGTTAGCTGCTATGTGGATGCTGGGAATCGAACCCAGGTCCTCTGCAAGAACAGTCACTGCTCTTAACTGCTGATCCATCTCTCCAGCCCTGAGTCTGACTTTTTAATATGGTGAAACAGTGTTATCATCCACAAAGTCCACATTCAAGAATTATGCAATTGAGTTACAAAGAAAAAAAAAAAGCACACATAAAACAGTCTCATGTTTAAGTAAGTTAGGGCTTTGGGTTGGACTGCATTCATATTAAGTTATTCTTGGCTGCATGCAGCCAGATTTTGCCCACAGGGCACAGGATGGACAACACAGAGAAGCAGACAGAGACAGTTGAATGTATAAGAAAAAAATGTACAAAGCAAGAAAACTGTTTATGGGGATTTTTATTTGGGTGATGGTCTTCCAAAGAATCTGTTGATAAAAAGTTGCAAAATAAACATCAAGAAAATAGGAAAATAAAGGTTCCTTTCTATCTTTGAAATATCTGGATCAGTCTCTTGCTCTCAAGATCTGGAAAGAGTTTCTCTTTTATAGTTTGACTAGATAATTCAAGAGCCATTTGTCTTGTGAAGTCTTCCAGTCTACCTTGGGTTGCAGGCTTCTGTGTACTGGGCATGCTCACAGGTATGTATGTGTGTGCCCCTCACCCAGTCACCCCTAGAGTCAGCCTGGGATGGAGAGGCAGGGCGATGCTTCCTCTCTGCTGTGGTTTGAATATGAAATGTCCCCATAGGCTTGTGTGTTGGAACACTTGTTCCACTGGTGGCTCTGTTTTGAAAGATTGTGGAACCTTTGAGAGATGGAGCCTTGTTGGAGGAAGTGAGTCACTGGGGGTGGGTCTTGAGTCTTGAGGTTTTCTTTTAATTTAAAAAGTTACATTTGTTTCCAGGTATGGTGGCCCAACTCTTTAATCCCAGCACTCAGGAGGCAGAGGCAGGCAGATCTCTGTGAGTTTAAAGCCAGCCTGGTCTATGTTGTGAGTTCCAGGACAGCTGGGACCAAAAAAAAAAAAGTTACATTTGTTTAATTAATTAACTAATTTGTGTGTGTGTGTATGTGTGTGTGTGTGTGTGTGTGTGTGTGTGTGCATGTGTGTGACATCTGGAGGTCAGAGGACAATGTGGGAGTCAGTTCTCTCCTCCTGTCATATGAGTTCCAGATATCCAGCTCAGGTTGTCAGTCTTGGCAACAAACACCTTTTCCCACTGACTGAGCCATCTGTTCTTGCTGGTCTGCTCTTGAGACTTTACAGCTCAACTCCACTTTCTGTCTGCTCTCCTTCCTGGCTGCCAATACAATGTGGTCTGTGGTCAGCTGCCTGAAGCTTCTGTTGCCCCTGCCTTGCCCACCAGGATGGACTGTATCCTCTTGAACTGTGAGCCCAAATAAACCCTCTCTTAAATTGCTTCTTATCAGGTATTTGGTCACAACAAGAAAAGTGGCTAATACACTTTCCAAACTCAGGGTCTGGGGAAGAGCCACATTGAGTAGAAGGTGCAGAGGAGGATCTATGAGGGTCTGAGAAGGGGTGGCTGTGGTTGGTGGTGTATTTTCTCTCTTCCTGCTGGCTGTATACAGAATCCTAAGGTGTGGGAGAGAGAACTGGGCAGCTTGACACAGGTGTGAAAGGCTCATGTGGGCAAGAACGTTGCCTTATACTAGGTAAACAATGTCCAGTGGTGTTTAAGAACATAGCCAGGCATGGTGGCACATACCTTTAATCCTAGCATCTGGGAGGGAGAGACAGGAGGATCTCTGTGAGCCTGGTCTACATAGCAAATTCCAGGCCAACCAGAGCTATACAGTGAGGCTCTGTCTCAAAATAACAGCAACAAATAAGTAAAATAAAATAATAAAAATAAAATATTTTTAAAAAGAAGATTTAAAAAAAAAACTTAGGGGTGGGAGAGATGGCTCAGGGGTTAAGAGCACTGGCTGCTCTTGCAGAGGACTTGGGTTCAGTTACCAGCACCCACGTGGCAGCTAACAACCATCTGTAACTCCAGTTCCAAGGGGTTGGACACCCTCTTCTGACTTCCACAGGCACTGTATAACACAGGTGCACCTACTACATGCAAGCAATGTTCATACATATAAAATTAAAAAAATATATTTTTAAACCCCAGAACCTGGCATTTTCCTAAAGTTCATTTACAACTAAAAAAGTCTTTGAAATAATAATGATAATAAAAATAAAATAAAGGTATGTTAGGATAGTATTAAAGGTCCATTAAGGAAAAAAACTTGTCAGAGATCTGGCCTGGGTGGAAATCTAATTTTCCAGTTGGGCCAGGTCAATCATGTGGCCAAAAGCCCACTCCAAGGAAGGCGGGTTCACCTCAAGCCATGCTAAAGAGAAGGGTGGAATCTTTGGTTCTTTAATGAGAGCATGCTTTCCTTTCCAGAATTCCCACCTCTAGTGCAGTAGTTGATCAGGCTGCAGCCTTGAAGCTTTGTAAGTCAGCCTGCTTTTCCGAATTACTCAGAAAAGCGTAACCTCTCCTTGTCTTCTTCCTGTCTCTTTTCTAGGCCTGCTTTCCCTAACAGTTGGGCTTCCTTACTTTTTCCATAAAGCCCCCTTCCCTGCCATGTGCCTGCACGTCCACCATGTGTCTGATCTCCACGCCAACTCAAAAGGACTGGCTTTTTTCCTTCTCCGTCCTCCTTTTCTGGACAGCTGCTAAATTCTCCAGCTTGCCTGTCCTGGGAATTTTTCTTTTAAATGCTAATAAAATTGTCCTCAAGCTTCCATTCTTAAATTCTTTAACTAATGAATCTAAGAGCCCTAAGAGGGAACCTCAGTTTCCTGGTTCAGTTACAGGGACTGGGGGGAAGACACAGTGGGTGAAGTGCTTGCCCCACCAGCATGCATACCTGAGTACAGATCCCCAGCACCCAACTTAAAGCCAGGTGTGACAGCATACCTGTAACCCCAGCATTGAGGAGGTGGAAACAGAAAGCTCTCTGGGGCTTGCTGGCCAGTTAGTCTAGCAGGATTGGCAAGATGCAGGTGCAGTGACAGACCCTGTCTCAAAAAAATAAGGTGGATAGGGCTTAGTGGGTAGAGGCACTTGTGAACAAGCCTGACTTGAGTTTGATCCCTGGTACTCACGGTTGAAGGACAGAACTGACTCCAGAAAGTTGTCCTCTGACCTCTACATGCCAACTGTGGCATGTGTGCTCTCTCACACACACATCACATGTATGCATACACAATAACAATTAAAAATACAGTTTGTGGTTTTTCGTTTCTGTTGTTTTGAGGGAGGATCTCACTATGTATCTCTGGTTGTCCTGGAACTCACTATGTAGAACAGGCTGGCCTTGAACTCACAGAGATCCACCTGCCTCTGCCTCCTGAGTACTGGGATTTAAGGTACACACTACCATGCCCAGCCTTAAAAATACACTAAAAAAAGATGAAAAGTGATCAAGGAGAACATCCAACACTGATCTCCACACACACCTCTACACAAGTGCACATACCAAGCATGTACACACAAAAAATAAAATGATAGTTTCTTGACCCACAGAAAAGTGCTTGAAATAGTAAGTACTATTTCTAAGGCAATGTTAAGAATTTTATAATCTTTTTAAATTAATTGTTTTTATTTTTTGTTATTGAGACAGTTTTTCAAGTCGGAAATATTCTTACTGAATTATCTTATGGGTTAAGAGAAGCAGTTGTCATCGAGTTGTTCTGGGCATTTCCAGTTTATTTGTGCATAAATAAATGACACTGAATAGCACTTAACAGACAATTATATCCAAGAGGTTCATTTGTAAATGTAGAAGAGGACATAAGCAGAGGGCTCGGTATGAGAATGGGGCAAAAAGCAGCTCACCGAGACTCTCAGGGGCCCCTTCTGATCTCCCTGAAAGGGACTGTGTAAAGAGGCAGTGGAGCATGCCTGTAATCCCAGAGAACTGGAGGCTAAGGCGGGAGGATTCCTGAGAATTTGAGACCAGCCTGGGCTATATAGTATCAGCCTAGTGGAGCTACAAAGCAAGACTGTCTTAAAAAACAGGAACAAATAAAAAAACCCTGGGAGGTGCTGGAGTTCAAAGTCAGCCTCCGATATATATATATATAAAAAAAATATATAAAGTTTAATGACGGCCTAGGCCTCATGAGACCCATTTAAACAAAAAACAAAAACCCAGGGGGTATGGAGATGGCTCAGCAGTTAAGAGCACTTGCTGATCTTGCAGAGGATCTGGGTTTAGTTCCCAACACCCATGTGGCAACTCACAAATGCCTGTAACTCCAATTTTGGGGGTCCTGATGCCCTCTTTTGGTCTTCAAGGACACTTGCACAAATGTGGTGCACATACAGACAAGCAGGCACAGGTACATAAAAATAATAAAATATTAAAATCTTTCAAAAAGTTTTTTTAAAGTAAACTAAAAAGAGGTCACAAGTGGACGTGGTGGTATTGAGGTGATAAACGTAGGAATGTGGGCTATAGAGCAGAGTAATGGGCAGAAAGAAAATACCATCTCTTTTTGGAGTGTATTAGATTAAAATAAAATTATCATTTTTTACAGGTCTGTCATGGGAGGAATTATTACAAGCAAGTGGGTCATTTTTAACCAGGCTATTGGCACTACACCACATTCGGTGGGCTCATTATAATGAGAACCAAAGGGGGATGTGACTAGTTAAAACTAAAGTTTCCATCTTTCCCCAAAGGGGGACCGAGCGGCTGGCACTCAGAGGGCCACTAGAGGGCGCGCCGGGGACCAGGAGGCGGCAGGGGAGGTCAGCTAGTATAGACAGCAGAACCAGGAACCACAGCTGGCCTCACACCAGATTAGGGAGAACTAAAGAGTAAAGCCCTCAGTGGGCCCGGACGGTGCTGGGCGGCGTCGCTACTACGATCTTGTCCAACTGATATTAATATCCTATGAATGTCCCCATTTCACTGGGACATTCGGTTTTGTGTGTCTGACAGGGTTTCATGTAGCCCAAGCTGGCCTCGGACGGACCTGAAGGATGACCTTGAACTTCTCATCCCTCTGTGTCCAACACCCCGAACACCCGAGGTGTGGTATTACAGGTGTGTGCCACCGTGCTCGGGTTCTGTTGTGCTGAGAATTGAACCCAGGGCCATACGCACGCTCTACCCACTGAGCTACATCCCCAGTCTTGAAAGTGAGCTAAATGTTGATGGGGACTCCGTGCAGCCCAAATTTGAGCAAACCGTAGTCAGTCTCACCCCTCGCACCCCTCCTCTTCTTTCCCTTTCTCCATAGTCAAGGAGAAGGGGACTCTCTAATCCCCAACCAGCACCCCAGGCATCCTTGTTAATGACCTTAAGCCGGAACCAACTTTTCCGCCGGAAGAAACGGCTTAATTGGTAGGCAGAGTTGAGCTCCTAAACCCTCTTCAAGCGGTGGCAGCCTGAGCCTAGAAATGGCCGTGTCCGCTTCCTATCTGTGCATCCTTTCGCGTCAGGATACTGAATCCGAGCGGCTCCCGGGGCCTCAGCATCCGCAGCCCTGGTCAAGCCGCCCGGGATGCCGCCGGGCGCTGCACCCTCCGAGCCTCCATCCCCGCCAGGCAACGAGCGCTCTGCAGCCCAGCGGGTACCCGGGACGCGCGCGCCGCCCTGGACCTGGGCATCATCGTCCGCAAGCTCGGGAACCCCGGTGGGAGGCCTTGGCACGACCACCCGACCCGGGCCCTCTTCCTCCATCTTCCCGGGTCTGTCGCCGTCCCTGGGGAGCCTCGGCCACTCGGATCCACCCGGACCCGCCCATACCCGCCCGTACCCGCCGGTACCCGCCGGCTCCGAGGTACCCCAGCGCGGCGCATCCCCCGCCGCAGCGCGGCGCAGCCCCGGGACACTCACCGCGCGCAGCCGACGGGGCTGCGGCCTCACTCGGCTCCCGGCCTCGACCCGCGCACTCGCAGCTGGGCTCGGAGCTCCCAGGGCCGCGGGGCGTGGGGGTGGATGGCAGTGTCTCCCAGCATCCTGGAGAAGCGGTGCCCGGGCTCTGCGCCCTGTTTGGTGCGCTCGGTGCGGGACTCCCCGCTCGCCCTCCGCGCGGCCGGGCCAGGTGAACGTTCCGCCGAGCTTCGATCTGGATGCCTCGGTCCGGGCGGCTTTTAAAAGGGTGCGTTTTGGAGCTATCCGAGCCTACCCCGAGCTTCCTTCCAATCGGTGCAATTTCAGATCTCCACGCTGGCTCATTCCTATACCGGCTAATTCTGGTTTGGCAGGAAGGGGGAAAAAAATGCGGGCATCTCACAGGCACACTCTTGTGGCCGATTGAAGTTTATCGCCTTGGCTGAGATTCGCTGATGCTGTGTACATTTGTAACCTCAGGAAATTAACAGAAACCTCCAGGATGAGGGGGAGACTAGGCTTACCTTCCATTGTTTTTCTGGAATTGGAGGGAAGTGATGAATCAGACCCTTACCTGAGTCTCGGCCACAAAAAGTAGCAGTTTGTAGAGTGAAGAGAACAGGAATCCCAATACCACCACAGTGGACTGAAATTCCTCATCTTTGTCCTAGCCTGGGTACCACCCTCCTGTCTTTCTGCAGTACCTGTTACCCACATTCATGGGCACTTGACACAATGTTTTGCCCTTGGAAAGTTTTCAGTATTTTTAAATAAATGAAGCAGGCGCTCTTTTACCTAACCTGACCAGTTCTGTACTTTCCTATGGCTGTTGTTATAAATTACCGCGGAGGCTGAAAGCAACACAAAGTCATTATTTTACAGTTCAGGCAGTCAGAATCTGAAATGGGTCTTGCGGCATAGCTCAAAGCTGTCGCTCTGAAGGCTGTGTTCTTCCTGGCCGCTCTAGCTGTGAGAACCACCAACTTCTGCAGCCTGCCCACACTTGGCTGGCAGCCACTGCCTCTTCTTCAAAACTATCTAACATTGCATCATTCTGTCTGTCTTGGGTACTTATGTCACCTGCTGTCTCCTCTATTTTGCGTCCCTTTTCTGCCTTTTAGTTTCATATTGTGTGCGTGTGTGTGTATTTGCACTTGCAAGCTAGCTGTGACACAGCATGTGTGTAAAGGTCAGAGGACAGCCTAAGGGAGTCTTTTCTTTTACCATGTGGATTCTGGGATTGAACTCAGGTCATCAGGCTTGGGAGACAAATGCCCTTAACTGAGCAATCTCTCCAGCCCCTTTCTCATGCTTTGAAGGACCCTGGCATTATGTTGGTCCTGCCTGGATAATTCACACATCTTTCTATTTTAAGACCAGCTGACTAGCAACTGTACTTCCATCTGCTACCTTGATTCTCCTTCTGCCATTTAAGGTAACACAGTCACAGTTTCCAGGGACTACTATATACATCTCCTTAGGGGACCATCATGTTGCCTGCCATGAATTTCCTCCCTTCCCTCCATCTTTCCCTTCTTTCCTCCTTCCCCCTCCCTCTCCTCTTTTTCCTTCTTTCCTTCCAAAAGAAGTTCAATTGTGTTTTATATTGTTTCCTACCTCAATTCTTTAAAAGCATTTTCTTTTTTTGAGACAGGGTCTTATGCATCCCAGGCTGTCTTAGAACTCACCATATAACAGAGGATGGCTTTGAACTTCAGATCCTCCTGCTTCTGTCTCCACATTGCTGGGATTATAGACATACACCATCATGCCCAGTATATGCAGTGCTGGGGGTCAAACCCAGGGTTTTGTGCATGCTAGACAATCACTCTACCAATTGGGCTACATCCCAGCCCTACTGCATCAACTCTAGGTTACAGAATAATGAGATGATTGTGAAAAACTGGGGCCTAATGAGGATGATTGTGGAGTACTAGACAGAGGTGGTCTAAATAACAGTGATAAGAGAAATGGATAGTGCATAGTCTCTTGGGCTGTTGAATGTCACTCATTCCAACCAGGATTTTGACAGCAAGACAAGATTGGGGTTTCAAGACAGGTACACACATGTAATTCCATCACTTGAGGTACATGAGACCTTGTCTCAGAGCTGGGCATGATGGTGCACGCCTTTAATCTCAGTATTCAGGAGGCAGAGGCAAGTGAATCTCTGTGCATTCCAGGACCACCTGGGTTGTATAGGGAGTTCCAAGCCAGCCAGGGCTACATAATGAGATCCTGTCTCAAAAGCAAACAACAACTCCCAAAACAAAACCCAAAGGTGAGGTTCTAATTAAGTATCTTAAATGCAGATGATCTGTTTTTTTTTTTTAAAGAAAATTTAAATTTATTTTAATTTTATGTGTATGAATGTTTGTGCCTGTGTGTGTTTAAGTGCACACATGAGTGAAATGCCCACAGAAGCCAGAAGAGGGCTTTAGATTCCCTGGAACTGGAGTTATGGATGGTTGTTAGCTGCCACGTGAGTACTGGGAACCAAACCCAGGTCCTTTGTAAGAGTAGCCAGTGCTCTTAACTGATCAGCCATTGTATCAGTCAGGTTCTCTAAAGAAACAGAACAGGTAGAATGAATATATATAGATCATATATGATATATAATATATATGCTATATATCATATTATATATATATATAGAGGGGGGGGATTTATCAGATTAGCTCACAGGATAGAGTCCGAGTAGTCCAACAATGGCTGCACCACACTGGAGAGACTGAGAATGCAGTAGTCGCTCAGTCCATGAGGCTGGATGTCTCAGAAGTCCCAATCTGGTGCTGAAGGTCTGACGAATTCCAAAAGATAGGCTAGTGTTCAGTCTACAGCAGCAAGACGAACTCACCAGCGAGAGAGAAGGCATGTGGCAAAAAGCAAATGCTCTCCTCTGCCATGGCTTTCTATATGAGCTGCCATCAGAAGGGTGTGTCTTCCAGCTTCAGATGATCCAGTCAAGAAGATCTCTCTCATTTCAGTTAATCCCAGATCCAGTCAAGTTGACACCCAGGATTAGCCATCATAGCCATCTTGCCAGGCCCTAACCCATTTGCTTTTAAAAGGGGTGTTATGACTTTGAATTGAATGTGAAATGTCCCCTACAGGTTCATGTATTTGAACACGTGGTCCCCAGTTGACTGTGCTGTTTTGGGAGGTGTTAAGACATGTGGTCTAGCTGGCAGAGGTGACTGACGGAGCAGGCTTTGGAGACTGTTTCTGTTTCTGGTGCTGGGGTGAGCTCTCTACTTCCTGATCCACAAAGATGTGAAGAGCCTCGTCTCTTGCTCCCTCTGCTGTGGATGGAGTCTCTCCTCTGCCATGCCTTCCTTGTCAAAATAGACTGTACCCCTCAAACCCTTAGCCAACTAAATCCTTCTTCCCTTACATGGCTTCTGTCCAGTATTTTGTCACAGTGCAAAGAAAAGTAGCTAATACAAGAGATCTATAAAAATCAAGACCTCCTGCTTCCAATCCTGTAATCTTGCAGGTTTATCCCAGGATGACTTAGCATGGATCTGGGGAACCATCACCTCAAGTAACACCCAAACCCTTATCCTATCCATGTCCCCAGGGCCTTTCATGGATAAATCTGTGCTGTGGACTGTGGATGGATACCCCGCATCTACACTGATACTGTTTCTTCCAGTCATTCATCTTCACTGGTAGCTCTGTTCCTACCTGCCCAGTGGCCTCTCATTGGCACAGGCTGGTTGCAAGCAGCATATCCTCGCATCCCCAACCAAGGGGCTGAGCTGGGATTCATGAGTTAGAATATTTGGGGTAAAAAAAAATTCACTATCAATGAAAATGACAAGCATTTATTTATTTTTCTTTTATGTGTCTGAGTGCCTGCATGTATGTACATGCACTGCGTACAAGCCTGGTGTCTAAAAGGGAGTCCCAGCCCCTGGAACTGGGCTTTGTGAGCCACTATGTGGGTACCAGGAACTGAATCCTGTTCCTCTGCAATAGGAGCAAGTGCTGTTAACTTTGGAGCTGTCTCTCCATCCCCAAAGGCAAGTATTAAACTCTTTCTATGAGCCAGAAGCAAGGAGTCTGACATCGTGGAATTTTTAGTGATTTGAGCTATTGTTCCATGGCAAAAAATTTCCCTTAACTGAATCCTAACCTCAACCTTGAACTAACATGATTTCGGAGCTGCCTCTAAATGTTTCCCCCTCACTTCCAATCATGCATTCAGGCAATTCAGGCAACTTCATGACTGGAGTTGCTGTGGAACTTGGATGATCAATGCCTTAATGGGCACAGATTAGGCTGAGTGGAATAGACTCAGCTTTTGAGGAAATTGTTAACACAGAACATTGAAGGTTTTGGAGAAATGTCCTGCAGTATTTCTTCCATGACCTGATATTTATAGCCAGTCCAGACATGCAGATGGTATGAAATTTGCCTGTTTATCCAGGGCCATGTTCATGGTTTAGTGCTGAGAGGCAGAAGGCCTCCCTAAAGGTCACTCTAACCACTTCCACTGGGTGTTCTGTAAGAAGCTCTAAACAGGGCATTTAGGCAAAAATTAATAAATAAAATTTAAAAATGTAAAAAATTAGAGCCAACTCCGCAGATAAAACCACTTGCCTCCAAGCCTGACAACCTGAGTTTGATTCCCAGGATCCACATGATGGAAAGAGAGAATTGACCCCCAAAAGTTGTCCTTTGACCTACACACACACACACACACACACACACACACACACACCATGGTATGTGAGACATGGCATGTGTGTGTGTGTGTGTGTGTGCATATACACACAAAATAACTAAATAAAAATGTAATTAAAAAGAAAAAGAAAAACAGCAAATTTAGAACATCAGTTATCTTCGAAAGGAAGCACCAATATGTTTTAAGTTTATAAAAATTTTGTTTAGCAACATTTGTAAGTTTTTGGTTTTTTTTTGGTTTTTTTTTTTTGTTTTTTTTTAGACAAG